AGAATGAGATGGCGGTGTAATCCGCGAGAAACATAAATATACTTATGTTTTGGAACAGGTTTGATTCTAAACTGAATGTTTGGAATATATATTGTTGTATGAGATTATACACTCACTAGACCTTTTAATCTAACGCTCAGATGTTGGATTAACCTGTTTTGCAGGACAGCGTGCTCTGAAAGATAAAGGCAAGGGAAAAGTCTAATTGTTGATATTAGCTTGTTATGCATATGTATTAAAGATACATTTTGATAGTCTATGTTTTGTAATAATACTATTTTAGTATTATGAAAATGATGATGTGAATTATATGTATTTGGAATATGAGGTTTGTTACAGTTGGTATCAGAGCCTTAGTTTAAGGGATCTGGGTATTTGCGAAATACTTAGACTTAAACTAGTGGTGTGAAGAGTTAAGATAATAGGTTTCACTGGGTCTATGAACATGAGAATATGTTATAGCTGAAACTATTATGAGAAAGGTAGATTATATATGATTGATATAATCTGAGATATGAGTAGACATGAGGATAAATGTGCTATGTGTTACTATGTTATGATTATGAGAATAATCATGTGTGTTTAAATGTGACAGAAAAGGTTACGTATTGAGAAAATGGCAGATTATCCCAATCAGTCTGAAAGAACTTCTGCTGGTTATGGAAGAGGTCGTGGAAGAAGGAATGTTATGCAAGAAGAGAATCCAGAAAATGTAATTGAAAMAHGAAGTCGTAGTDGAGGACGAGGAAGAGGTAGAGGTACTAGACAGGAACATGAATTGACGGCTCAAGAAAGTGCAATGTCTGGCCGTGGTCAAGAAAGATTTAGGGGTGGACGTAATGTTTCTGACCCTGARTATATTACTCAAGATATGTTGGCAGCTGAGTTGGGAAAATTCCAGGAAAGTTTGGTAAATTTGTTGAAACATACAAACCAAACTGATCCAAATGTGGAAAGAAATTCTGAGCAAGAGGAAGTTGGAGCTAATACACCGATAACTGATACATCTGTACCTATTATTGCGTACTCAGAACAGAAGGGATGAGATATCAAGATGTTTCTTGCGTGTAAACCTCCTAAATT